TGAAAGAATGACTATGTACTTGAGGTAATTCATATCAGTAATCTAAGATGAATAAAAAGAGTAAAACCATGAATAAAACCCATGTTAAAATGCAATTTTAAGCAGTTCTCTGTGTGGAAACTGGAATTTTGGAAGAATTAGTGGTAAGCCTTTTTGGGGTTGAGGTTGTTTGATTTATGTCTCACGTCAACCCACTCCAGTATTCTTGCCTGGACAATTCCGTGGACAGAGGGACCTGGCAGGCTATGGTCCATAGGGTCGCAAACAGTTGGACATGACTGAAGAGCCTTAGCACGCACACACAGTTGTGTTACTAGAGTGAAACTGGACTTAACGATATTTGTTTCAACTTCTCAGGACACTTCTTTCTAGAAGAGAGGCAATTAACAGGAAGTAGGAGGCAATGGTGGAACAACAATGGCTAAATTAAAATGAGTTGACCTTTTAAATGGTAAATTCCAGTTAGAGCCATGCCTTGGAGAGGGCAATGGACCCAGTTTTCCTCAGTCCCATGGTGGTACGACACCACACTCTTCTATTTTGGGACATTTTAAAATTCAATGTAAAATTTTCTGTCTTGAATAAAGACAATCCAAGGGACCTACGAAAGATGCTGGCAGAGGGTCTCCTTTCCAGGGTGACTGATTATCTCAGGAACCTACAATGACTGGGTTGCCCAAGGCCCTTTACCTTGGGGAAGGTCCTGACCTTATTTGGAAAACCCATCTCATTCTCTGAAAGTGTCAGGTAAGTGAACTTTTCAGCAGAGATGCCTGTTAATTTTGTATTTGTGCAAATTCCTTAATCTCTGGGAACCCTATTTGAGCAATGCATGATTTACTTACTAGTCACCAACTGCTAACTGGGCTAAAAGAGGTTTTGCTCCAGAGGCGCAATAATGACATGCTAAATAAAACAAAACAGGAGACTTGTAAGCCATGTTTCCAAGCTAAACTAGGAAAAAGGGCACATTCATCATTAGTGCTAGTCCTTATTGGATAGACCTTTATCCTGCCCCACAGCTATCTCTTTAATCACTAAACTGAAGCCTTTCAAAACAGCGCCTAGGGACTTTCTTGGTGGTCCAGTAGTTAAGATTCCACACTTCCAGTGCAGGGGGCACAGGTTCAGTCCCTGGTTGGGGAACCAAGAGCTCACATGGTGAGTCAATTATTTGCTCCAACTCACAAGCACCTTAAATCAGTCACCATCTTTGGCTTTACCCTGTTGACCATAGTCTATTTCACCAAGATGGCACCTCACTTCAGTCTATGAACATATTTGTATGTGATAAACACCATCAATAAACCCTGTGTCTAGATGTCCTTACCCTTCATTCTCAGATCTGTGCTCCTTTAAGTTTTTTTTAAAACAATTTGAACAATTCCTTGAGTACCAGTTGTGTGCATGCTAAGTTGCTTCAGTCATGTTTGACTTTTTGCCACCCCATGGACTGTAGCCTGTCAGGGTCTTCTGTCCACAGGATTCTCCAGGTAAGGATACTGGGGTGAATTGCCATGGCCCTCCTCCAGGGGATCTTCCCAACCCAGGGGTTGAACCTGCGTTGCAGGCAGATAATTTACCCATTGAGCCACCTGGGAAGCCCAGAGTAGCAGTTAAGCATATTTTATCCACATTCACTACAGTAATACCTGCAATGTCACCACACCTTAACAACCAAACAGGTAATGATATGACTGAATTCTAAATGAAATCAATAAGCAAATGGTTATCACACTGACTTCATTTCTGAGGATCTGATGTACAGCACGGTGACTGTAGTTAATAATACACTATTGCATACTTGAAATTTTCTAAGAGAATAGATCTTAAGTGTTCCCAACACACAAACAAAAAATGGTGACTATATGAAATGATGAATATCTTCATCAACTTGACTATGCTAATCATTTCAAAAGATATACATATATCAAAACATCACATTGCACACTTAAAATATATACAGGTTTTAATTGCCAATTTTACTCAACAAAGCCAGGGGGAAAAACAAAGTTATTTTCTGTTTTCTAGATTCTAATCATAATTATCTTTAGAGCTGCATAAAAAACATAACTTTCCAACATAATATATTTTTCAGTGACAATATACTCCATATGTATTTCCAAACACTAATCTATTGAAAAATGTTGCTTATTATTCTCATGTAATTTTGCATCCACCACTCTCATGACAGATACCTATCTTATTTATCTTTCTTTTTTTCCCCAATAATAAGCCATTATGAAAAATTTTGAATACATGTCTGAATTCTGTTATAAAGCTTTCCTGATTTTTTTCCCCCAGTCTTTGGTTCTTGATATGAATTTAAGTGTTATCAATTTGATTTTAGCACTGGTATGTCTATAGTGTGAAAAAAACATAAAAGACTCTGACTTCGTAGAATAGATTCTAAACAACTCTTCAGATTCACTGTTCTACTCCCCTTAAAATCTTACTTTGTCTTTCTTTCAATTCTGAGATAAGTGCAGCCCAGTAGGTAGATAACAAAAGGAAAACTCAGGAATGCAGAGTTGAAATTGAGATAAAACCTATGTTTTTCTATAGCCTAAAACAATGTCTTCACCTTTCTCCCACTCTTTAAATTGGAGCCCCTTATGAAGATTTATTAACATTTATAAAATCTAGAAGAGAAAGAGTCGTAGTATCTAATGAAAGTCAAGAGAAGTGTTTCATGTTGAAGAACAATCACAGTGTGTACTTATGTCTACTAGAAAAAAGCATAAAGGATTCCCAGGAGGCTAATCCTGTAAGTTAGTCACTGTTAATTCCAGTAGAAGCCATCCTCACAGCTGCCCTTATTCCTCAGCCAAAAATCCCTGAGGGTTCCAGCCACACCGTTGCTGTGGTGACTGCTGCGACCACGTGCTAGTTTCAGCTGAAAAACATATTCAGGTTGTCAGCCTGTGCCACCAGATGATTTTGGCTCAGAACATTAAGGTTCTGACGCTGCCTTCTCAAAGCATGTTATCAATCCAACATGTGGCAATAAAGGAAAGCTGAGACAGAGCTCTTGTCTAGGCTGGGAGCCAGTCAGGGTCTCGGGGGATGACGAGGTCTTTGGTCATCTCATTTAGAGTCTAGCCCTCAACTTCACGACTGAAAGGTTTGTTCTGTTGGTATGCCTAGAGACTGTTAGGCTTTAGGGTGCCAATTAACATTAATAAGATTCACAAAAGAATAATATATAAACTGGAACATCTATTATTTTTCATTGAGAAATGTAACCATCAAGAACACTGGAATTCCCATTCCCATTGGTCTCTGTGTAGTACCTAGAGAGTCAAATTCAAGTGGGACGATTACTGTTATCTGGGAACCAAAGACAAAGGAATAAGAAACATGATTTTGGCGGTTGTTATTATCAAGCTCAACAACTTCCCTTCAAATACTTTCTGAGTTCTTTGCAATGTATTTCTTCGTGTAAACCATCTTCCTTTACACAGTGCAAATACCAACAAACTAGCCTGTATTGTCAAACAGGCTAATATGGGTTTATAGTTTAAACTAATCTGATGAGTTTATAGTTTGACTGCCTTAATTTAGCATAGTACGCCCCCAAATTTTCAGGTTCACAGTTACAAATCATTACTCAGGATGTGTCAGTTCTACAGATGGCCGATGTGAGGGTGACTTTTCCTAATTCAGTCTTATGTACAGTTTTGGGGACGCTTTCACCAAACACCAGAAACAGGCCAGTGTTTCCAACTGTAGAAGAAGCAGGAAGACAGTATAGAATAAAGACTTGATAACAGTTTAATATTTGATTTCTGGCAAGAGATTTGATTTTTTTACATTCCCATATCAGATAGTCACCATTTGTTGTAGGATCTCAGAAATATAAACCCTTAAGAATCATGAGATACAAACAGAACAAAACTCAACCACCACTACAACAAAAACAAACAACCCAGTTGAAAAATGAGCAGAAGCCCTAAATAGACATTTCTCTAAAGAAGACATACAGATGAGCAAAAGCACATGAAAAGATGCTCAACATCATTAATTATTAGAGACATGCAAATCAAAACCTCCTCACACCAGTCCAAATGGCAATCATTAAGTCTACAAATAAATGCTGGAGAGGGTGTGGAGAAAAGGGAACTCTTCTACACTGTTGGTGGGAATGCAAGTTGGTGCAGCTACTATGGAAAACAGAATGGAGGTTCCTCAAAAAAAAAAAACAGAATTACTATATGATCCAGCAATCCTGCCTCTAGGCATATATCCAGACAAAACTTTAATTCAAAATGATGCATGCACCCCTATGTTCATAAGCACTGTACATAATAGCCAAGACATGGAAACAACGTAAATGTTCATCAGCAGATGAGTGAATAAAAAAGACGTGGTACACATACCACAGAATACTTCTCATCCACAAAAAAAGAATGAAATAATGCCATTTGCAGCAACACAGAGAGACTTAGAGATTATCACACTAAGTGAAGTAAGCCAAAAAGCGAAAGACAAATGCCATATGATATCACTTATGCGTGGAATCTAAAATACGGCACAAACAAACGTATCTGTGAAACAGACTCACATAGAGAACACCCTTATGGTTGCCAAGGCGAAAGGGGGCAGGGGAAGGATGGACTGGAGTTTGGGATAAGCAGATGCAAACTATTATATATAGAATGGATAAACAACAAGATCCAACTGTACAGCATAGGAATCTGTATTCAGTGTCCTGAAATAAACCATAATGGAAGAGAGTATAAAAGAGAATGTAATACACATGTATAACTGAATTATTTTGCTGTGCAGAAGAAATTAACACACTGTAAGTCAACTATACACTTCAGTTTAAAAAAAAAAGAATCATGAGGCTGCTGGGACATCCCTCAAAGTAGGATAGGCTTTGGAATCATTTTCATTTAAAAATTATCATTAAAAATCATTTAATTTAAAAATTATAATGGGGCACCAACCACCGTGTCCCTGGCCACGCCAAGACAAGAGGCAAAGGGGAGGGCGTCATGCAGCAGACCATCCAGAAGGTGCTGGAGAAGAACCACCACCTGGCCCAGTGCACCCTGGACAACCTCAGCAAGGGCAAGGCAGCCGAGTGCACCCAGCGCCAGGAGATCCTGCACGGGAGCCCAGCCTACCTGGCCACCATATGGGACTCCAGCCAGAACATGCAGTCCCCGCTCCTGCCCAGCCAATCCGGAGCAGGATGCTGGGACCCCGAGGTCTGTCCCCGAGTGGCTCTGCCCAGGAGCTGCACTCCCCAGGGCAGCCTCACTGATCCCGTGGGCATGGCCCAGATCCGCAGCCGTCTGAACCACGTGTCCATGCAGTAGGCTGAAGAGAGCATGCTGCCCGCCACCTCCCCCATGAGCTTACCCAGCGGCAGCCATGGCTCAGGGCCTGGCCACAGCCTCTTGGGACCGGCCTCACAGAGCGTGTCCTTGCCAAGCGCCAAGGCACCATTAGCAACTAGGTGTCTCAGGCCAATATCAAGGTGCAGTCAAACCCCAGTGGGCCTCATCCAGTTAGACTAGGCCAGGGAGGGAGCCAGCACCCCCAGGAGCCAGTCCACGGCCTTAAATGGTGGAATCTAGGCAGGTAGCAGCGGTCCACAGGGCCCCACAGGGCCCCCTAGCCAGGCTCCTCCCAAGGTACCTGCGCCAGGAGAACTACAGCAGCCAGCAGTTTTCAACTGTAAAAACACATTTTTTAAAATGTAGCATTTTAACCATCATTAACACAGCCCAGTAGCATCAAGTACTTTCACATTGCTGCACAGCCACCACAAACCACCAACAACTCCAGAACCTTCTCATCTTCCTGAACTGAAACTCCGTCCCCAGGAAACACTAACTCCCCATCCCTGACCCCTGGCCACAAAGATCCCCTGGAGAAGGAAATGACAACCCACTCCTGGGTATTCTTGCCTGGAGAATTTCATGAACAGAGGAGGCTGGCAGGCTATACTCCATTGGTCACAAAGAGTCAGACACGACTGAGGGACCAACACTTCAGGCTGAGTGATCTTCCATTGTATGTTTAGATTAAATTTCACTGGTCCATGTATCTGTCCACCAACACTTGGTCTGCTTCCAATTTGGGGCTATCATAAATAGTGGTCTGTGAATGTGAGTTTACAAGTATCTCTTCAAGACTCTGCTTCCCATTCTTTGGGGTACAGGCAGACCTCTGAGATACTGTGGGTTCAGTTCTGACCACTTCAGTAAAGCAAATATTGCAATTAAAATATTGAAACTACAATGGAACAAATGAGCCAATAACACTGAAAGACTTGGGATACCCCAGCCAGTTGATATCTGTTCAAAGGACCTGCTATGTGATGCTGCAGCTCTCTCTCCACCACCCTAATCTCAGCACCCGTGGCAGCTTTGCCCCTGCATGAGCAACAGGCACAATGGCAAGAGAAGGAGATTTCAAATTTCTTAAGGTAGGAAGAACCACTGCTTTGTAAGATGTGAGCTCTAAACAAAACCTTGTTGCAAGACCAGTGATGCCACTACACTGTCTGTACATCTCCACTGGATGTGCTCCTGACCACAGAAAATGAATGACTCCTGTGTTCAGAATCTGTGGTTCAATTACTGCAGCCCCATAATCATCATCTAAGTTGGACATCAGCACATTGGTGAAAAGCCCCTCTGGGGGCAGTGGAGGTCCCATTAACTTTGACCCAAAAGTCCCTGTGATAGATGTTAAACTCTCCCCACCGCTCATCTCAGGTAATTGGCAATGCCAGTGTGACTCCATTACCGCCATCTGAGTTGGGGCAGTTAAGCCCTGTGTTAACAAGGCCTGTTTTAGCAATACTCCATACAACATCAGACTCCTTTCCTGTAAGACTCCCACAATTGTATTTCTTGAGCAGTGACCCTGCATGATCCCATATTTTAAAAGGAAAAAAAAAAAAAACCTCAGATCCAGAGACTAAAATAATAAAAATAATAGAACCTCTCTCTGAATCATCTCAAACATGCACAAAGCAGCTTTAACAATAAACATCATAAGGGCAGAAACTTTGGGTACATCTGGTTCACCATTATCTCTCAGAATCTAGCTCAGTGCCTGGCAAACCGCATGACCTCAGTGACTACATCTCTTTACTGTTCCTAAAGGTCAGGCTTCATTTGCGTGTTCTGGTCTCCAGTCTTCAAGCACTAAACTTTAATTCATCCAGGCAGCTGGCTGCCTCCGTCTCCCCAAAGACTTCCAGGACAAGAGGCTATATTGCCTCCTCAGGCTGCTGAGTCATCTTCCTATCAGGAAATTGTTTCTGCCTTGGCTAAATAGGTAAGCAATTTTCTGACTATTTCAGACAGAAAACCTAAGTTTAAAAAAGATTACATGAATAGCTCAAGGTTATACACGGACTCTGACCCAGTTAGGAGTAGAATCCAAGTGGTTCCTAACATTCAATCCTAATAGTTTCCATACTGCTTATTTTGCAGGTGAACCTATCTTTATCATTTATAGATATTGTTCCCAAATCACTCGCTAGGAAATCCTGCCTAAATATTGAAGGTAAAACAGCTTCACATATCCAATAGAGAGAATATATATACAAAGAAATGTTTCCCACATGAAGAATGAATCGCTGTAAAAAACATTCATTCAGTTGTTTCATTTTAAAACAAGAGCCTTCCTCCCAGCTGCCACAATATCCAAATGCTCCATTTTTGTTACTAAACAATCTTTTTAACACCAAGCCAAAAATAAGTCACAATGTTAATGCAAGCATCTTGCAAGCCAAATGAAAGGACCCATGCCAGATTGATCCAAGGGGAAACTGTGTCACAGATCTCTCTGAGAAACTTTCTATCAGATCACCAGTCAATAGGGTACCAACATCTGCTGATGCTCACTGAAAGACATGAGTCATAACAGACAGCTTTAGAAAATACATTTTTTCTTCCATAGTTAGCAATGCATGACTCACTAGAACTCTCCAGACACTACACTGCATGAATGACTCAAAACTCTACCAAGGACAGAGCACAATCAGTTCTCTTCCTGCACCAGGATTTCTCATTTCAATTATCACTGATTTGTTAGCTTGCCTTAAAGGCAGAAAATCTTGGTCCATTCTCCTTCCTCTTTTAAAAACAGTGGAACCACAAAACAGAAAGAGACTTCTAGGCTTAGAGAATGAACTTATGGTTGCCAAGGGTGTTGGGGGCAGGATGGGGAGAAGGGATAGTTAGGGAGCTTGGGATGGACATGTACACATTGCTGTTTTTAAAATGGATAACCAACAAGGACCTACTGTAGAGCACAGGGAACTCTGCTCAATACTCTTTAATAACCTAATGGAAAAAGAATCTCAAAAAGAGTGCATACACTGCTATATTTAAAATGGATAACCAATAAGGACCTACTGTACAGCACAGCAGAGAAGGCCATGGCAGCCCACTCCAGTCCTCTTGCCTGGAAAACTCCATGGACGGAGGGGCCTGGTAGGCTGCAGTCCATGGGGTCGAGAAGAGTCAGACACGACTGAGCGACTTCACTTTCACTTTTCACTTTCATGCACTGGAGAAGGAAATGGCAACCCACTCCAGTATTCTTGCCTGGAGAATCCCAGGGATGGGGGAGCCTGGTGGGCTGCCGTCTATGGGGTCGCCCAGAGTTGGACACGACTGAAGCGACTTAGCAGCAGCAGCAGCAGCAGCAATACAGCACAGGAAACTCTACTCAATGTTATGTGGCAACCTGGATAGGAGAGGAGTTTGGGGGAGAATGAATACATATAAATGTATGACCAAGTCTTGTCAGTCTTCACCTGAAGCTATCACAACATTGTTAACTGGCTATATCCAATACAAAATAAAAACTTTTAAAAAAAAATTTGTTTAAAAAAAACAGCAGTACAAATATTTTGACATAAAAATTAATATTGGAGGTGGGTGGGAGGGAGGCTCCAGAAGGAGGGGATATGTGTATACTTATGACTCATTCACATTGCTGTACCACAGAAACCAACACAATATTGTAAAGCAATTATCCTCCAATTAAAAAAATAAATTAACTATAGCTAATAACAAATAAATATTGAATGCTGCAGGAAGATAGAAATTACACATTATAGAGAATGCTGACAGCAGTCTTCAGCTGGCCCAACTCCCACCATTTGGGAGGTCAGGTTGAACAATGATCATGGTTGATCTCTTTCTAGAATACTGAGTGATGAGTAGAGATTATTGCAATTTGAGAAATATTTTATTGTTAAAGATCAATGACCTGCCCATCCAGATCTTCAATAGGCAATAACAGTAATCAAAGAGGACTTCCCTGGAGGTCCAGTGGTTAAGAATCCACCTGCCAATTCAGGGGACACGGTTCTATCGTAGGTCCAGGAAGATCCAGCTTACCATAGGGCAGCTAAGCTGGTGCGCCCCAACTACTGAGCCCGAACCCATGCTCTACAACAAGAGAAGCCACTGCAATGAGAAGCCCTCACACCGCAGCAAAGGGTAGCCCTCAATCACCACGACTAGAGAAAGCCCGCACGCAGCAACAAAGAGCCAGCATAGCCAAAAGTATATAAGCAAATAAACAGTTCTTTAAGAAACAAAACAAAAATTAAAAATAGTACTCAAAGATACTTTGAGAAATAGTTTCAGAATTGTTCTCCATGACAGAGGTCTTGATTTCTCTCAAATAATATTTTCTTTGATAATCACAGTAGCCTCCCAGTCAAAGACGACACTTTCATGCTCTTTCCTTTCCATCCCATCTAGCAGTTCAACTCCAGATTAATTTCCTGAAAGATTGTTCTGATTATAATGTTAGCTCAGTATGGTAACAAAGAGCACAGTTCTTAAAACTAGACCCCCTGATGTCAAAACTTGAATTCACCAATTAATTTTTAAATCTCTCTGTGCCTCTGTTTTGTCATCTGTGACAGAGAGTTTATGAGATGCTTGGGCTCCAAAATCACTGCAGGTGGTGATTGCAGCCATGAAATTAAAAGACACTTACTCCTTGGAAGGAAAGTTATGACCAACCTAGACAGCATATTAAAAAGCAGAGACATTACTTTGCCAGCAAAGGTCTGTCTAGTCAAGGCTATGGTTTTTCCAGTGGTCATGTATAGATGTGAGAGTTGGACTATATAGAAAGCTGAGCGCAGAAGAATTGGTGCTTTTGAACTGTGGTGTTGGAGAAGACTCTTGAGAGTCCCTTGGATTGCAAGGAGATCCAACCAGTCCATCCTAAAGGAGATCAGTCCTGGGTGTTCATTGGAAGGACTGATGTTGAAGCTGAAACTCCAATACTTTGGCCACCTGATACGAAGAACTGACTCATTGGAAATGAC